TGTTTTCGTTTGAAAATGATAAAAGCAGGAAAGTTAAAAAATGTAAAACTGAGACACTTCATGAGCTCCTGACACTTAAGTCTAAACGCTTTTCAACAACAAGGGCCTGCCTCCAATCTGAAAGACGAACGACACAAAAGCTACAAAAAGCTCAGATATGTGACAGTAACACTAAGAACACAGATATGTGGTTTGTCAAGTATAGAACTATCCACTTGGCTTCTCATCAGCTCATCACATTCTCCCTGAGTCACTTCTGAGTTAAACTCCTTCCTTCCCTCTCTCCCTCCCTCTCTATGAGCAAGTAAGTACAACAAACAAATACAGGGCCTATATGTAAAAAAAAAACGTTAAGTCAATGGGTTTTTTCTTGGGATGAAAATTACAAAGTTCATATTGCTGAAGAAATAAAATGATTTTCTTTTCCCTTCTTGACTTGTCGTGAGATGGCACGTAGGGTTTGAGTTACATAGCCAGGCTGCTATCAGATAAGTGAAGGATTTCAAGTTTGCCTGAGTGATACTTTACTTTCCCTATTCACAAGTTCCCAGAAAACAAGAAGCATGATGCTGACAGCATGCCGATGAGAAAGCAGTCATCAGAAGCACATTTTCGTCAGTGTCAAATCTGAAAGAGACATCTAGGCAATAATAGCTCACCACCCATTTTCTGCTTGAATACTCTCAAAAATACTATAAATTATCATTATCCTGGTTTTTCCCCACCAAAGTTCATTAAGTAAGCTATCCTTGATCTACCCCTGCCCCGTCTGCCTTTTATTTATCCAGTGAGAGCAAGATGTTCAAGCCCCTTAACTTGAGTCAAATGTCCTTGAAACTGCATTTGTCACTTCCTAATTGCTCTGATTAATGAGCAACCCAGCTGGGCTTCTTTCAGTACTTTCTCGTTTGATTTTTTTCAAGACACACAAAGAGAAAAGACATCTTTAAAAAAATGAAGGCAATAGCTTCAACAGTGACAGAGACGGATATCTTTGCTAAAAATTCCACAGTCAAAGCGCAAACATTTTCTCAAACCACACACGTACATATCACAGTTAACAATTTGTCCACTCAAGTGAACACAGTCTTGTATGTATGGCATAGAACGATGGAATTCAAGTGAAAAAAGAGAAAGAATGACAATACACATACAGTCAAATCTGTCCAAAAATGAATCAAGAGGGAGCCAGAAAAAAATTGCGTCTTACACATTTACTGTCTAGGATGGTGGAATTTGGTGGGGGTTGGGAGGGTGGGGGTGGGCGGGGGGTTGTATTTTAAAGGGCCATCTGTACACGGTTGGATCAACAATCCCCTGTCCAGTTGGCAAGCAGTGATCTAAATTTCACACCTCCCAAGTGCTATCCTAGCAGCTCTGATAATGGCATGCGTCAGTCATTCATTGCCACAAGTGCTTGCATCTCCTCCTTAAGATCACTGTTTGGCCAGTATTCACCAGATCATGAGCAGGTCACAATTGTTCAATTTTTTAAACTATCAAACATTTTGTTGGAGTAAAGAGAAGCACATCGAAACAATAACCCCTATCTAGTGCTGGAAAACAGACAGACAAACAGACAGAAATAAAGGAAGAAAAAATAAAGAGATAGGAACTACCAGTAGCACTCTCCAACCTCACATAACCACTTAGTACATACAACTGTCAGTCCTCTGTTTTTTTTGTTGGAAGGCAAACTCTCAACCCCCCAACCACCCCACCCCTAACACAGAGTGGACACATTACTGTGTTCTTTTTGTTTTAGTAGACGTTTTACGGCACTCACAACTGCATAAGGTCATATGAGCGCCAAGAGGTGGATATCAACAGAGAAGTCCTTACAGGGAATCAGACTTACACTGCTCACCTCTCTAGCTTCAACAGCACAAAGTCTGCTTCGACTATCAAGGCACCCCGGAAGTAGAGGGTCACAAGAGAGTGACAAACATACAAAAGAAGTAGAGGGAAATGACGATAGTAAATCAGCAGGTCCCTGTTTAAGTTCAGGCACAGTTATGAGCGTGACGGTGAATCAGCCCATTTACAATTCTACAGTGCATCAGAACGAGAAATGTCCCCCCTTTGGGAATGGCCTAAAGACACTTCAGTCAGTGGCACCGCCCCGGGGGGAGTTACTGTGTTCATGTGCTTCTGTTAACATTTAGTTTAATAAGAGTTTTACAGCACTGCAGCACAACTAGATCATATAAGTGCGGAAGAATAGAAGTGCAACTAAAAGAAAAGAAAGAGGAAAGATAAGGACGACTAATGTTTGATATGAAAGAAGGAGCAAACCACAACAGAGCATCCGCCAACCACCAACGTGTGCTTCTCTTTACTCAAACACACAAATAAGGAATGAACCAGCCAAAGAGGTCTTTGTGAAATCACATCATGGAGCCAGTCCAGGACAATCACATGACCAACCCAGATCCAGATGATCCCCTGATTAAGCCAGTTGATCACATGACTAAGCCAGCTGATCATATGACTACACAAGTTAATCACACAACTAAGCCATTTGATGACATGACTCAACCAGTTGATCACATAACTACGCCAGCTAATTACATGACAAACCCGCTAATCACTTGACAAACCGTTAAATCACATGATTAAACCAGTTGATCGCATGACTAAGCCGGATGATCACATCTTCTTCTTCTTCGGTCACATCACACTTGAAGTCTTGCACCTATCATGTAGTGGGCCATTCTGCTCAGAGTTAATCACCTGACTAAGCCAGTTCATCACATGACTACCATATACCAGTTGACCACATGACTACACCAGTTAATCACCTGACTAAACCAGTTCATCACATGACTACCATATACCAGTAGGTACCGCAGGCGAGCCGTTTTCCAGGCAGACAGCTACGGCTGGAGCCAGATTTGGACAACTTCATCCAACTATTAGCTGGTTTTAATTTTTGTAAACACTAATAAAAATTATACCACTGTTTTCTGTGTCTTTCCTTCTCCATGGTGAACGAGAAACTGATACTTATGATTGCATATTTAGTTTTTAATTGACTAAAGTT